GCTACTGATTTGCAGAGCTCACAAAAGAATTAATGAAAAGATGTTGGTATTATTGTTATTACTACGTACTATCGGCCTACTGTCTTCATTTCGAATAAATAAAGGGAGGAAAGCAGTCTTCTGGGATGTGGCACCGAGTAGATGTGGTGTTAACCGTCGTTTCGGAGGAACGTATAGCCTCTATATTCAGGGTAGAAGGAAAAATAAGAGAATCCGCAAGCGAAGAGACAGTGAGAACAGGTGCAAGCAGACTGATGTTGGAAATAAAATCAGCTCAAATCTTAAATAAGAGGTCGTCGAGATTACCTTAATGTCTGTGTCTGTATATCGCCCCCATCAATACGTAACGGCTCGGTAAAAAATTCCTTGCGCCAACGAGTACACACTCCGTTGAATACGGTTTCTATGCGGTCCGTGTCTGATGTAGTGAGAGGAAAATAGTGTTTCAGTTTTTTCAGGATTCTTCAACTGCACCCACAAATCTATTCCAGTCTCTCTCTCTCTCCCCCTACCCTCAGAAAGCAAACGATAGGTTCTTCCCAGAATTTCTTGTTTTGTCATCAATATATAAAGTTACTACTAGGCTAAGTACTTCTTGAAGGCACTGTGGCGGAAAATTACTTTTCAGTGTGACGAGTAGATCTTCAGACACTCACAGACCGTTCATGCTATGTACGTATACAGGATACGAAACTGATCCTTACCCTGTAATTTATTTTTATCTCCTATCCCAGCTGCGCCGATGACTGGACCTTGCTCTCTCTAACGGGACGAACACAGTATGACCCCTCCACCCCCCACCCCGTACGTGATCACGGAATGAGAAGCAGTTACCTAAAAGTTGTGGTTTCAGGAAATGAAGGCTGGAGATAAAATTAAAAATATTATCCCTGTTTATAATCTTAGCCCCTGTTAATGGTCTTGATATATCATCTGTGTCTTTGGTGTTCGGTTCCAGCAACGCCATTTTCAATACGATAAGAATTGAGAACGTTTTCCAAAATAACCATGACTTGCTGTTAGCTTCTGTAGCGAAACCTGAATGTTGTTTGCCAGTGCCTGAGTACTTTGTTTCAGCCTCCCTCTCTTATCCTTTGCAGCATTCTGGGCAACTGCCTCCACTCAGTGAGCCCCTGAACTCCTCAGTCGGTCATGCAGTTCAAAACAATTTAACATGTGATCGGACTCTGGGTCCATAGTAACCGAAAATGAAGATTATTTCTTGGAATGTTCGTGTTTCCTATTGTAACCAGAGTTGGTTTATTATTGGCATTTGCTTTGATGTGAATATATAGTGATGTAAATTAATTGTTTTCGGGAAGATCTGTGCTTACTTCTTGCAGTATTCTGGGTAAATAAAATTAGCAGTTATCGTGTATAATCTCATGTACATAGGACCGTCAAAGCGATTCTAATTAAATGTTATATTGGAAGTTACTTTTGTCAGACTCCCTCAGATTTACATAACGAGTATCGTAAAAGAAAAAGGTACTTTTACTTAAGATTGACAATTTTGTGCAATTCGAATATGTATATAGCTTGTGCGTACCACTCGTAACTTGTTAGAACCTGTATCTGCCAATATACATATATACATACATATAATAACTAATTTCGTGGAGCTGAGCCCTTCTTGAGAAGCCGCCAATTGTGCAGCTACTCAAGAACTTCCCAGCGTTTTATGGAACCCGAAGGTTCATTTTTTTTTCATAAGAGCCCTACACTGGTCCCTATCCTGAGCCAGATCAATCAAATCCATACAACCCCATTATATTTAAGAGTCATTTTAATATTATCCATCCACCTACGACTTGGTGTTCCTAGTGGTCTCTTTCCTGCTGACTTTCTCGCCAATATCCTATATGCATTCCTATTTTCCCCATTCGTGCTTCATGCCCTGCCCACATCATCCTCCTTGACTTGATCATTCTAATTATACTTGGAGAAGAGTGCAAGTTATGAAGCTCCTCATTATGCAGTTTTCTCGAACCTACTGTCACTTCATCTCTCTTCGGCCCAAATATTCTCCTCAACACCCTGTTCTCAAACACCCTCAGATTATGTTCCTCCCTTAACGTCAGAGACCAAGGTTCACACCCATACAGACTCACGGATAAAAGTAAGGGTTCGAATATGTACCCCATGTAAGAAGAATTGGAAGAAGGGGATAAGAAACTATGAGAAAATGGTTGCCTTGTGTTCGAACAGTAATGTCTCCCTTCAGCATGTATAGAAGAGATGAGGATCAATGAAAATCCTTGCAATAAGAACGGTCTGGGGTAGAGTCCACAAAAATCCAAAATTTTCACTAACCTCCTTCCAGTTCCACAATAACTCTTTGTCCACCGATACAGTGTGCCTAAAAGGCGAGGTACTCGAGACACAGAGAAGTAAGCCTTCCAAGAGGGAATGAGATAACACTGCCGAATATCGGTAAAAAGACAAATTCGTAAGTCCCAGCCTTGGGAAGAATATATGAGCATAAAGTCGCATATGCCGGTCACGGTAGCCGAGCGGTCTAAGGCACGTACTCTCTTCGCTCGCTTGGAAACCGGGATCATGGGTTCGAATCCCACTCAGGACATGGCTGTTTAGTTTGTGTGTGTGCGCTTTTCTGTGTTTGTCTACAGGTAGAGACCTTGCGACGAGCTGATCACCCGCCCAAGGAGTCCTACCGAATGTGTAAGATCTAGAAAAACCGAAGTGAACGGAGAAGTTCATGGAGGTAGGCCTAGGCCCACTGGGGCTGTAGTGTCAAGGAAAGAAAGAAGTCGCATCTACAGTTTGCTTAAATGATGAGGTACTTAAGGTAGAAACTACAAAATTAAAATTATAATAAGAATAAAATAAATGGCAGATTAAATTCGGTTAAAGCTAGCAACCTTTCAGTTACAGACATTTCATCTTCATTTCTTCTGTCTAAAAGCACAAGGATTAAATATATAAAAACTCTAACTTTACCTGTGGTTTTGTACGAGTTCGAAACTGTGTCTATCACTCTAAGTGAAGAATAAAATGCTGAGTGGAACATTTGCATCATACAGGAGGGTAGACGTCCCTGCCAGGGATAGAACCCTGATTCCTGTGGTACCCAGCCCTCACCTCGGCTGTATACCGACTGAGCTATCCTGGCTTCTAAAGAGAACAGTGGCTATAGGAACTCGAGCGAATTTTAGGCACGAAATTTTCATGTACAGCCATTCCATCGCTTCTGAAATATTGGATACAGAAATGACCGATCTATTTACGCTTCATATGCACAACCAGACTCAGTCTGTGTGATAAATAGTCAGGCATAATGTACAGTTGGACCGCCATGCGAAACGCTGAGCTGGGCGAAACAATTAACCTCAGATATTTACAGAATATTCAGTTATCTGAAGGGACACGTGAATGAAACGGCACTGAGAGCTGTGATAAAGCAACAGGATATTCCATATTCATAACTTGCCCACTTTGCTACATGGAAATGAAACCTGGACAGTTAAAGCAAGAGGCATAAACAGTGAGTGGAGTGGAGTGAGTACAGATGAAGTTCTGAAACCGAATGTGTTAGCTTAGCAGTCACTCTCTGAACTTACCGTTCTTCTCAGAGCCGGGCAGTAAGCCAATGACTCCACGAGAGATTTCTTTCTAGGTTTCTCCAAATCATCATTCATCAATCATCCTAGAGTTGAGTGGGAAATTATTATGTAAAATGTAAGAAAGTAAATTTCTCAGGCTTACTGTCGATCTGGTCTAGAAAACCGAGATTAAAGGCCATGGGGATTCGTTAGGCTGACCACCTGACACCCTCTACCCGCAAAAGTTGGTACTAAATTCGCCGACAAGTGGCGGGCGCTAGGTCGGACTAAAACCACGGAATTTGTTTTTTGCTGTTTCCCTTGTCGTTATTTTCATTCTAACAAGAAATTGAAGTGGCTGAAGAGTATGTAATAAAATTCCCCAGAATCAAGTTTCGTGAAAATATGTCAAATGCTTGTAGATTTGTTTCATGCGTGCAGATTGGCGGACAGATCGAACGAACTGCTTTTCTCTGAATTCGTCTAAAATAGCATCGTAAATGTGACAGCCTGTAGGTTGGTTACAGCTCAGTGAGTGAAGTGACACGATTTGGTTTCCGTGAATGGGCATGCATTTTTTATTCCGTCATTTGCAGGCTGAACCTGTGGCGCATTCCGCTACTTACCGGGGTTGAAGTTTTCAGCACAACCACTGATTATCTGATTCAGTAATTAGTTAAATTGATTGACTCTAGGATTTTCTTACGACACGTTTATAGTGCTGTGCCTATAAAACTTTCTTACTTACTTACTCATGGAGCTTAGCTCTTCTTGAGGATCTGCAGAATTTTATGGAACCCGAAGGTTCATCACCGTGTTCACAAGAGCCCTCCACTGGTCCCTATCCTGAGACAGATCTATCCAATCCATACCATCCCATCCTATCTCTCTAAGATCCATTCTAATATTGTCCACCCACTTACGCCTTGCTCTTCCCTATGGTATCTTACCTTCTGGCTTTCCCACCAATATCCTATACAACTATAGGATCAAAACCTAAAGTTTTAAAAACAATTTTGACAAAAGGTTTTTTTTTAATTCTCAAACCTGAAATTCATCTGCATCTGTCTCCATTACAAGATCCAATCTGTTAGTAATGTTCAAAAAATATTCGCTCTTTAGTTTGAGGATCATACAAAACAGATGTACCTAAGTTGTAAAGAAAATATACACTCGTTTATGAAAGGAAGGGGCATGTGTTGTTAACATGTCTCTTAAAGTGTTCGCCTGGAACGGCTGAGAAAAACAACTAAAAATTACAGTCTGAGTAATTAGTATACGAGTCGAGATTCAAACCCGAATCCTTCCGAGCACGAATCAGAAATGCTGGCCGCTACACTGGAATATTTATTCAAAATGATGATGCTTATGATAACTCCCAAGAGGGAATTGAAAATTGCTTGGTACTGGAATTTCAAATAAGCTAGGATATTGAATTCAGCAGCTCTGATTACAGCTTAGTAAATTGAATGGCTGCAGGCTGGATGACCAGTTGTCCAATTCTTGGAACAACGTGGAATTTTCTTGTGCATGTGTTTTGATTGTGGGGCCCATCAGCGTCCTCTCCAGCGTTCGCTGGAAACCCATTATGAGGAAGTAGCGCGCACGGAGCGTGAGGATGACAGCTCCACTTCGTCTGGTGCAGAGAGTTGGAACGCAAGGGGATTCACAGCTTCGTGCTGTGGTGCTTAGCCGTGGGGGTAACTTTACCTTTATGTGTTGTAAATGGAATATAATGCCCAGAATTAGCCCGACTGCGGAAGCTGGACTGTAAATGGACGAGAAATGTTCGTGACTTGCAACAAATGTAACAAGCATACGGCATGAGCCATTGTATACAAGATGCTGATCACAGTGACCGCGCCGTGTAACGCATGAACTGACTTCGTCCGCTGAAACACTGAGAACGTACGTTCGAATCCCACTTGAGGCACGGTTGTCAATATTTCTTTATTCTGTGTTTGTTCTATCCTGTTCAGATAGTGGCCTTATGACGGGCTGATCCCCCGTCCAAGGAGTCATATCGACTGACTGTGTACAAGATGAAGAAATTGAAAAAGCGGCCAAGGCCTAACAAAGGGATGTAGAGCCGTAGGTGGGTGGGTGGCTGACTGGGCAGATATATACGAAATATACATATACATACATAAGTTTCAGTGAATGCATCCTGTTGTGTATCATATTATTTCTTACTGAAAACCGTCACAACAAAACAATCAATAATACGTGTAAGTAGCTCTACGAGATACTTTTGCTACATGTTTCGGCCTTCAAAATGCCATCATCAAGCAAATACCTTGAACTTTTCCTTATTGAATTGCATGTCAAATATTGTATACAGTACTAGATTTCCAAATATATACAATGGTATATAATGATGTGAGTGAATATAAAATATAAATTACAATACATGTTGAAGTCTTAAAATAATCAGTTACATAGTCAAAAGTTCAGTTAAAAGTTGTATATGAGATGGTACTTGGAAGTTGGCAGTTGTAATCCTGATGCTTATACGGACTTGTTATATAGACAATGGGTGATGTGGTTTTGGAGGGCCGTTGTTACGATGTATGTTATTATTTAATATTTGATACTATTTGACGTGCGCCTCCGTTGTGTGGCTGTCCGATTTGATGGAGAAATAGATTACAAGATAAGTAGACAGACAGTATAGAAGACGTGTAAGGTAATTAGGTGTTCTTTATGAAGCGAGGAAAAAAGAACGCCTTACATTGGTTTCTTGTCTATCAGCCTTTCGTTTGAAGTTCTAAAAGTAAGTGAAATTGAAATCCACATTATGCGTTCATTTAGAGAGGAATACATACAAATATGTGTAAATGAAATTAAGTAATGCTGAAGGGACTTTTTACAGAAGCTATGTAGATTGAAGCTTATGTGCTGAATAATACAAAAAGCACTATCTATATCTATCTGAGACTAGAAAAACAAGTGTCATAGTCACATCATAAGACTAGACTTTTCAAAAAATCTAAGAGCTGCCAACATGAAGGAGAAAGAGACGCTGAACGATGTAGAACGCGATGGAAGGATAATGTTCGAGACGGAACGGGCTAATAATATCCTGTCTCGTTTTAGAATGATGATTATTATTGTTTGTTACAATGTGCGAATCTGAAGTCTTCAATTTAGAAAGAATTTTATGCTCAGTGCCTCCTGGTAAATCCCAGAATAGTACAGTATAAGAAATAGGTCACTGCCACTTCCTCCTTAAGTAAATATTGACTCGACGTTTACAATCTAGGCACTGGGAGCGTCGTTAAACTGTTCATAGGTGTGACGTCATGATCCTCCGAATAAATTTACCGATATCCATCCGAAACGCCGTTGACTACACGGTGTCACATCCCTCTTCATAGTCAGCATTCAGAAATCCATGACAACACAGAGAGTACTCCAGTCTCGTCATTACGGTAAGTAAATATTGAGCCTTGCCATTCAATTTTCTCTGTTCATTCAAATTGCATACACACGCTAACACTTTTTGTCGAGTAGGGCGATATGGAGGTAATTGTGAGGAAAGCAGTTCGATCTCGAAATGTTTACAGTCTATCGTGACTGAGTTTTGATTTCCCTCCATATCTCTTTAGGCAGGAGGAACTTAAGAGGAGACCGAACTCGGGTAATGCTTGTTACCATTCAGTCCAGAACCTCTTGTCTTCCCGTTTGCCGTCCAAAAGCATAAAAATTAGAATGTACAAAACTATAATTTTGTCTGTGGTTATGTATGGGTGTGGAACTTAGTCTTTGACATTAAGGGAGGAACATAGACTGAGGGTGTTTGAGAACAGGGTGTTGGGGAGAATATTCGGACCGAAGAGGGATGAAGTGACAGGAGGTTGGAGAAAACTGCATAATGAGGAGCTTCATAACTTGTACTTTTCTCCAATTATAATTAGAAGGATCAAGTCAAGGAGGATGAGATGGGTAGGGCATGTAGCACGAATGGGGAGAAGAGGAATGCATATGGGATATTGACGGGAAATCCAAAATGAAAGAGACCACTGGAACGACCAAGGCATAGGTGGGTGAACATTATTAAAATGGCTCTTAGAGAGATAGGATGGGTTGGTATGGATTGGATTGATCTGACTCAGGATAGGGACTAGTGAAGGGCTCTTGTGTATACGGTAAGGAACCTTCGGGTCCCGTAAAATGCTGGGAAGTTTTTGAGTAGCTGCAGAATTGGCGACTCCTCCAGAAGGGCTCAGCTCCGTGAGTAAGTAAAAAGCTACTCCTGTTTTCCTTAGATATAACTATGTAATTTGAAACACAGTCGTTAAATAAGTATATATTGACTCAGTAAAATAACGAATGTTGCTGTTGTGTGGTTGGTCCTGGGTTCAAATGTCGGTCCGTAGATAGGCCGTCCTGAGGTTTTCGTCGTTTCCCCAGTCATTCGAGGCAAATGTCGGAAAAGCTTCTCATATGCCATGACCGCTTCCGCCTACGCTTTCCCGCTCAGTGGTCAGTAGTCACCCAACCGTACACTGCTACTCGTGTATTCACGAAGGTACTGACTGCGCCGTGAAATAAACTGAGCACAAATAACAGTTCGATTACGTCCGTCCGTCCATCCGTCCGTCGGTCAGTTTATTATTCCCGTGTGTTTTGCAATGTTTCCATTATATGAATTATAATTGAACATCATATCTTCTGCTTTCGTAAATGCGGAAAACGTCTATCATTCGCCAACCCACTCACTGGGGCGCGCACCCACCCACACCGTACCCTAACTCCCCCATTCGCCTACTAACCCACTCAGTCAATTATTGAATTCTTTTTGTCAAGTTTCAAATTGGCATACAATAATAGAACACTACTATTACTACTACCACCACCACCACCACCAAACACAGCTACTTCTAATGCTACTACTACCATCACCACTACTACTACTACTACTACCACCACCACTCATAATATCTGTAAATGTTTATACAGAGTGTCCCAGGAGGAGTTGTCAGTATTCTGAGAGGTCATAGTATCGGTCATTCTTAGCAAAAAGTGTATATGTACATGTGTCCTATTCCGAACCGTTTCCGAGATAGAGCTATTTCACTGTACTACCGTTCCAAGAAAGAGATATTACGTACTGTAGATCGGTACTATAACCGCCCAGAATGTAGGCCTTTCCTCCTGGGACATCCTGTATAACTTGAGCAATAATGAAACTGCACGTGCTGTAATAAAGTGGTGCGAAACACAAGATGACGATGCTGAGGTTATATACAATGACGCCTGGCGTCAGTACAGATTATTTCAATATTTATTTTAACACTTAACTGTATAGGCAACAGATAAACATTTCCTTTGTTTCTAAGCATCATACTATGAAGGTGTATAAGTGTACATGACATGGAGGTAATGCTCCCCCTATTCTAGATTTCTGTACTAGTTGTGGCTCCTCCCTCAGACCGCTCTAAGTCTAGGAGTGTAATTATCAGTGCCCATTAAATTAGGTCAGAGTCTGTTTGTACTCAGTGAAGAGAGACATTTTTGCCCCTGTTTGCGGTAGAACTGCAACCATCTAAGTTAACCTAGACACTGAGCGTCCGAAACAGTTATTAAGCTGCTGTAAATGTTATAATTGCTGTTAGTACATACTTATGTTGGTAATATTACGCATACATATATAGAAATATATAATTGTTATAATTGTAATTAAATACACTTCTTTTAAAATATGTTATTGAGAGTGAAGAGATGAGAGATGTTACTTACCGTTCATGTTGAGTTCAGTGGCGGCTTTGAAGGATGTTTTGGTCGTTGTTCCGTAAGCTGTAGACCTCACGGAAGATTGTCTGCTGTTGGCACCACTGGCCGCCACTCTCACGTTACTGTCACTTGGATGCAGATAGTGGCTGTGATGATGATGATGGTTCGTGTGACGCTGATGAATACTGTTCAACAATATATTGCTTGAAGTTCTGGACAGGGCTTTCCTCTGTCTCACGGCTTCTTTATAAATACGGTAATACATGGTAACCATCACCACACCAGGAATCCAGAAAGATACACCGGACGATATCATCATATAATAAATATTAACTTCAAAAATACACACATTGGGATTCGATGTTCGGAATTCTTGATGTTCTGGCGTGGTGTACCAGCCGAGGAATATGGGTGTAAATGAAATGAGAGCTGGGAGCATCCAAACATTGGCTATCATGAAACACACTGTTCTATGGGTCATTGTGATTGGATATTCTAACGGCCTTACAATCGCGTAATACCTGTCTACACTTATACAGCACAGATGCAATATGGAAGCGGTGGAGAAGTACACATCCAGTGAGTTCCAAACGTCACACATGACATATCCAAACAACCAGGTTCCTCCCGTAAGTTCTACACTTGCGTTAAACGTCATGGCACAAAGAGCAACCAATAGATCGGCTAACGCAAGCGAGACGACGTAATAATTAGTGATGATTCTTAACTTCCTATGTCTGACGACACTAATTATGACTAGGGCGTTACCAAGGACAGCGGCTATGATGATTGTACCCATGACGATTCCCTTTAATATGGCAGGCAACAGTTCTGTCCAAGGGGCCGTTCCATTGACCATGTCCGGTGCCTGGACATGCGACGTGTCAGCGACTGATCCAACCCCTGACGTCGCGGGGGTGTCGTTGTGATTGAGCCACGTGACTGTGGCACTAGACCCGCTGTTCCCTTGTTGACTTTGGTCAGAGAGGGTGGCCATACCACTCAGCATTGTTCCTGAAGTAAGGTGGTGGGGCCTGTCTTTGCTCTACTGTTAATCACGTGTTTGTCCTTAAATATATACATTGAACTCAGTCATTCAAACTGCACGTGTAACGTGATCATATTAACAAATTATCTGTCTATGTATGTCTTGTCTTGACTTGCGACGAGTCTTCATCTTCGTCAGATGGTGACAAGATAAGAGTAACAGTTCTGAAATATTTCTTAATACCGATGGAGTGAAACCTCAGTGATTGTAAGAGCTGCGAAGAAACGAAGCGAAATTCTACATCAAACTGCCAACCCCGCGCGTTTCCTTACAGACCTAAAATGAAATTATCAAAATGCTTTTCATCTGGAATGTGACGTGTAGTTTGCTGCTATTTACAAGTTTTTTTGGAACAACATGCTGCCGCTCTATTCATTGTAGAAAATGAAATCGAGCGTGGAAACTTATTCTCCCATTCGTCTAGCCCTGGAAAAGTGACCACGATTGACGACCAGTTTTTTTTCTATCTGTTCCTTTTGACTTCCCCTTCCTCATATCGGTTCAGTCTGAACGTTGCTTCTCCCGCATTTCTCTGCCTTTACAAAACGGTCTTTCGCGTAGTGGGGGGTGGAGTCCAACTGGGTCCACTCGACACGGCGGCCACTGATTCGCGTGTTGTAGCGTGCCCCGGGTGACTATGATGATGGAGAATTTGGTGGAATGAAGATTGGCAGGGGAAACCGAAGTACTGGCAGAAAACCTGTCCCAGCGCCACTTTGACCACCACAAATCCCACTTGACCAGACCCGGGATCGATTGAGCTACAAGCGGTTAGCCGCTCGCTTCCCACCGCGGTGTTCCGGGTTCGGTCCCGGGTCTGGTCAAGTGGGATTTGTGTTGGACAAAGTGGCGCTGGGGCAGGTTTTCTCCGAGTACTTCAGTTTCCCCTGCCAATCTTCATTCCACCAATTGCTCCACAATCACCCTCACCTATCATCTGGGGCTGGTACAATAGGCCAGAAGTGGCCGCAGTACAAGGGACTTAGTCCCACCCCACTAGCAATAAAAAATGCTTGAGCTATGGAGCGGCCTAAAACGGCCCTTTTAAAGGCCAGTATCCTTGGCGCTCTTCTCTTTACTTTTTTAATTCCCGATCTTATTTTGGTGCATTAAATATGGAGGTAGCAGGTTGCTCCGAAACGTCTGTAACTATCTACCGCACTATACGGCGTGACATCCTAGAACTGAGTACTCTTCATAGCTACCGCCAAGAGAACCTCAAATCTGACACACTTTTTACGTAAATGAATGAATGAATGAATGAATGTATAAGGGGTGGGCCTTCTTGGCCCTTGCACCCCGCCCAGAGTGATCTGTTGTGCCTTAAGTAAATGTATATTTTATTCATTAATTTGAATGGGCTGCTACCCCGCTCTCAAAATTAATGTCAAAATATTTGGTCTGAGTGTAAGGTGGCTTCTCTTTTAAAGTGTTTTGATCTCGCAGGAATCTTAAACTAATTGTGTAATATTCAAATTTCCAGTAAAGAAATATATTCGTCTTAAATACATACATAGGCTTAGGAGGAGAGTCACAGTTCACGTCATTAGCCAGATTAACCCAAGCCACGGATTCCGTGAATCACTTTAATTTACTCATTCAAGGTTCCCTAATTTCAGTCATCTCAGTAAGCCCACTGAGTCCACTCTAATCATCCAATTTAGTTCAGACACTCAGTCCACTAATTTTCTAATTATCTATGGCTCTAGAGCCCTTGTTGGATGTTGGCCGCTTTTTCAATTTCTTAATCTATATGCAGTCAGTAGTACACCTTAGACGGGGGATCAGCCCGACACAAGGCCGCTACTTACACACAGAAAACACAAATACTTTATAAAGGCACACATACATCCATGCCTCGAGTGGGATTCAAACCCTCGACCCCAGTGCTCGAGCGGACTATGGCGGTTCATGCCCTGGACCGCGCAGATATTGTGATCGGCTTGTCACTTCTCTGGGTACGTTAAATTGTAGAAATTACCACAAATTTATATTAAATATTTTGTCCGATAACCACTGTCATACACACGTATAAATTATTCAGAAGTGAAACATCCAACTCGTCTCAACTTCAGTACAGAAGTTGATAAGTGATCAACGTCGCACTTAAGTCTGCGTACTATGATAGGTCAGACACTTAGATGGCATGATTATATGAAATGAATTTTCCCCCTGAGGAAGGAAAGTAGTCTAAAAAGAGATTATGAATTGACACTCAGCCCTGTTTGTTTACGTTTTTCATTTCAGACCCATACATTATATTCCTCTCAGCAGTTTCAGATCCGGCCGTTCTCAGTAGAAAGCGCAGTGGAGTTGGTCTGATCCATTAACTGAGATAATAATTTAAGGGAAAAGAGACTTTCCTCTTCTCCACAGCATCCTGCTTGGCTCTGGGGCCCACCCAGCCTCCTATCCGATGGGCACCGAAGGTTCATCCCCCCGGGGTTAATTCAGCCGTTCCGTGAAGCTGACCACACCTCCGTTTAGGGTCAAGTTCTCTTTATCCCCATAAGTTCTAATAACGTCATATTAAATTAATTAAGCACCGGGATAAATTTACCTTTACATACACGTTTTCGAAGGAAAGCGTCACCTTTCTTCCCTCTGACATTGCAACTGCAGCTACAGAACAAAAAATAATCCGTGGCTTGAGTCTGGAAGCGATCTATACCGACCGAGCGACCGCCGCTTGTCGGCGAAGTTAGTGTCAATTTTAGCGGATAGAGGTTGTCGCGTGGTCAGCGCAACGAATCCTCACGGCCGTTAATCTCGGTTTTCTAGACCGGACAACTGCAGCTACTGGTTTGTTATTTCTTGCAATGCTTCGGTCTTCACGCGCAATTCACGGTCCTGGTCTTAGAACACGGCCTGCAGCAAGGCAAACAACCCGAAGTATTTTTCTTCTCCCGTCATAATACACTTAACCAGTCTGGCAGTGTTTATTCCCATTAAACTTATAATAGGATTACAGTTCGTGGATTGAAGGATAGGGAACACATTGCACATAAAATCGTGAATGGAGCCCGGTGCTTAAATAAGCAAAATCGGTGGAGGTAATGCCATACCCGTCCAGAATAAGCAGAGATTATACGAGCTTTAAACAATCAGTTTCCTAGCAACTAGATTCTGAATTTGCGTTCAATTTAACAAATTCCCGTCAATGTGTACTGATTCGAGACTTGGAACGGGAAATTCAAGTAGAAGTGAACACATTTCACATGGATATTCTTTGCGGTTTTTTATATCGTGTTGTGTCCATGTTCTTTTATTTTGGTACGGATAAAACTCCGTTGTGTCCAGTGCCTATATCGATACATATAAACTTGCGTACACATAAGTAACTTCCATTGCACTTCGTTAAGTGTGGAAGTATGTCGGAAAATTATGTCAGATTAGTGAGCCCTTACAGAAAAATCTACACCGAGATGTTGTATTTTAGCGTCCTGTTGCACTGATTTTCATCCATGATTACAACATTCGCAGCTAAGAAGGGAACACACATCACAAGACACGGTTTACACAGAATATGAGAAAAACGACCCCCACAGTGGATGAACCTCACGCAAGTTTTAATTAAGACACATAAGATGAATAATCTTAACAAGTTTTAGTGTGTGTAAATTTATTATAGTTGACAAATACGCACTTTTTAAATACTTTTTAAATAATTTTATAAAGGCAAGCGATGAAATAGATTAGCGTAATTAGGGCACCTGATGATGACACTATGTTGCCGAAACATGTCGTGAAGTATCAGATGAAACTGAGTGCACTACAAGACGGCAACTGTATACATATCATGGACTACACCGAAGTTTTAAGAACAGTTATGTGGTTCCAGAAGGTTCCCTACAACTAACTTAACACAGATTCTTAAACACACACATAAACATGTCTGTTTCTATGACCTTCAGAACGCGTTTCTTTACGTGTCATTGCGAAAACACGTAAAAGTTGCATATTCATAATCACCACAGCCTCAATGCTTTTCTTATGGATGAAATCCGCTTGAATTCTAAGCCACGCGTGTAGCAGGAAAATTTATATTTTTTCCCGGATTATCTTTCGAAGAGGAACGTTTTTTAGGGTGAGGGGGGGGTGGTACTTAAGAGTTTTCTTCGACGAGCAGGTGGGAAGGACCAGGGTGAAATGACGGAATAACAAGCGGAGAAAAGAGACAGGAATTTTGGCTGTTTTGTACAAGGTTACCCAGGAGGAAAGTCAATATCATGGGATGTCATGGTATTGATCATTCTCAGCAAAAATGTGTATATGTACTCGTACACGTGCCCTATTCTGAACGATTTCTGAGATAGAGCCATTTCACTGTACAGTTCCAAAACTCGTGATAAGAAAGGGATATTCCGTACTGTTTCTAATACCGGTATTTATTGTTCAAGTGACAAAGTTGGTACAGTTTACCTACTGTAATATATTTTCGTAAATTTCACCGTCAACATCAATGCACTTTGCAACTCGTGTGAGGACAAGGCGTGTTGCTCGTCCGTACAGTGTACAGTGTACTGTTCTCAATAGGACACGTGTACTCGTACATATACACTTTTTTGCTTAGAATGACCGATAGTATGACCTCCCCGAATATTGATTTTTCTTCCAGGGACACCCTGTATGTACAGAGTACAACAGAAAGGTTCGAACAAATTTTAGGTACGAATCGACATACCAAAACAAGATAAAATACCCATATCAACAAGTATCCGCAAACATTTAGTTATAATATTGTAACGGAACTTTGCAAACCATTTTATGCAAAATTAATGTTA